ATATGCTTTCCCCGCCATCAACATGTCAATAAACCAACACAAAAACACTCCATAATTCCCTTTGGTGTCAGAATGTTGTGGTACGTTTGCGCTCTTTTTAAAGGTAATTTTGAAACTCTCTAGCACCCGTACATTAGTGAGTTTGGTAGCCCAATAGTTGATATCTACTAGAAGTTTGTGGATATGGCCTCACATAGGTGTCAACCAAGAAGCATTTTTTTCAAAATAATTGTACACCCAGTGACTATCATATATAGTCATTTTGAATGTTTTCAAATCAAAAACACCCAAAAACCAGTGAGTTGTCGGTATATTGATTAGAATGTAAAGTTGCACAAAATGTTAGAATTAAATAATCATCAAATATCATTTTATTATAAAATGACTATTACGTTGGTAATGTAATCAAAACACAATTATACCGCATCACACGCAGATCAAGCCGAGTAAATGGATCCATCAACCATGTGACTCTAGTGATATGAATCTTTGTTGAAAGATGACGGCAAAAACGTCCACCGAGCATCATCAGGTATACGCTCTATCAACAGTGAGATCCACATCATGATGTACTGTTAATCAACACATGTCTACAATAAAGTAAGTATTGTTATTAAAAGCGTACTACATAATGATCACATAATTATATAACTTACATCACATGCCATACAGCCCTCGTGACTATCCCCATATAAGCGTGTCCAAAATTCAATCGTTGGTATAACAGTGATATAAGGGTGCGACAACAATAGCGAAGCATCCCGTTCTTTATATAGAGTGTGAATGGTAGGATATAAACGATTGTCCAAATGTGTTGCTTGTTGGTGTGCAACACCTTTCTTCTTCACCTGCATCCATAGGGACTTACACCATATAGATATAACTTTTTCACATAGAGAATGCCTAAGAGGTGTTGCAAGCGTTTTATATTCTTCCCGGGGGATCATTTTTTAATATGACGAGTCATTATATACAAACATATGCTTGGGTTCGTCATTCGGCGACTGTTCAGGTGTACCTAACCCATAACCATGCTCCTAAAACTCATTGTTATCTGTGGTACCAACATCTTCCACAATAAGTGTATGTACAGTTCAATAGTATTTAATTATAAACAATGAACTAATGGGTATACCATAAAGTTAAATAAGAAATATACGATGTAGCACCAGAGTCGCCAAGTATGAAGTTGTGATTTAATCTATGTTTAATTCAAGAAAAATGTGATGGAGGATTGTGACTACGTTGGGCGTACACTAGGTACGCACGACGTACTCCTTGCATGCGCATCATCGGGGGATACCCGGCGTACGCTGGGTAGGGGTGTTCGTGGTTCGGTTTGAAACCGTGAAACCGGCCAAACCGGTCATCGTTTTGGTTTTACGGTTTGTATTTTTCTTTACGGTTTGGCTTGCGGTTTCGAACTTTTCAAACCGTATTGAACGGTTTGGCTTACGGTTTTTAAGATTTCAAGCCGTATAAAAACCGGACCGGACCGTAGGATTTATATATATATATTAATTAATTTTTTTATATGTAATTGTATTTTATTGTATTATATATTAATTTTTATATACAAATAATAAACTTTAAAACCCACAATATTTAATTATTACAGCCCAATTGTAGTTTATTTTGTGTTATGGTAATTGGTAAATGAAGCCCAAATTGATAGTCTTGATAGTCCACCTCCAAGCAATCGTGAATTCGTGATTGACTGATTCGTTTCAGCTTGCCCTAATCGAGTAATCGCAATTCGCAAAGACGCAAACCGTTAATAGTGCAGTTTTTTTTTTTACTAAATTAGGCAGAATTTTTACTGTTTTAATACATTTAATAATGCAGTTTTTTTACTGTTTTAATACCTTTAATAGTGCAGTTTTTTTACTGTTTTAATACCTCTAATATTGCAGCTTTAATATTAGGCAGAATTTTTACTGTTTTAATACCTTTAATAGTGCAGTTTTTTCTTACTAAATTAGTTTAGTGGACTCGACTAAAATGGGCCTAAAAAGCCCAAACCGTGAAACCAAACCGGAGTCAAACCGTTAGTAACGGTTTGGTTTGGTTTGGTTCGGTTTTAAATTTTCAACGGTTCGGCTTCGGTTTTTGCTTGACAAAAACCGTTAGTAACGGTTTGGTTTCGGTTTGACCTAAAAACCGAAAAAATCGGACCGTGAACACCCCTAACGTTGGGCGTACCCAAGCCAGGGGAAAACCCTAATTTTTAGGGTTTACACCCTATTTAAAGTCCTTAAGTCCCTCAAGACCATTACCCTTTCAGCCTTCATTGCCCTTTTAGTGAAAATCTCGAACCCTAGCCTTCTTGAGTGCATTTTTGAGCTTACCTTGTGTGTTTGGGTGTTCTTTGGTGGTTTGAAGAAGAAGGAAGTTTGGGAAGAAGCAAATGAGAAGAAGGAGATTGTAGATCCATAGCTTGTGCACCATTTCTAGCCTATTGACAGTATAAAGTCTGAACCTTGTTTATTCTAAGCTTAGATCTAGGTTTAGGTGTAACACCCGGTTCCAGGTATGGTATTATTTTCGAGTATGTATGGTAATCTTCTTTGGAAACCACGACGTGGTGAATCCTCACCATGACGTGGCGGTGAGTTTTGGGCCGCAGGATTTAATGAACCACCACGACGTGGTGGTGGATGTTGGGGAAAACCCTGAAGTTTGAGGGTTGAGCCCTTTTTAAATATCCTTACCGCCCCCCCCCCCCCCCCCTTCTAGCCTCCTCCCATCAGCCTCCATCTCTCAAAATCATCCCTTGCAAACCCTAGAGCCATTTTGTGATTTTTTAGCCTTAAAAGTGTGAGTTTTTGGTGCTTGTGAAGGAAAATGTGGTGGAAGACCTCATTGGGAGTCCAAGGCAAAGAAGATCCAGGAGTTCACCTTCCTCTAGTATCTCAAGGATGTATAAATTCTTCATCTTGATGAGTTTATGATTAGATCTATGGAGTTTTCCCTTTCTTTCTCTATGTCTTGTTGCCTTGGGTTGTTGAACTTCATAAAGCTTGCAACTTTATGAGTCAACATTTGGGTCTTTGGATCTGGTCTAGAATTGAGTTTGAGGGACATACATGAAATCTTGACCTTTTTACCCTATTTTGACCTAATAAGAGTTCAAGACATGCATGTCTGAAAAGCACAGACTTTTATGGTGTGCTTGGAGTTAGAGACTCTCTTGTAGCTTTTGGTCAAGTAACCCCCATGGATTGGACAATTATTAGTGAAGCCATGAAGTGTTTTAGACCATAAAAGTCGATATCTATGCATTTTGGAGGGTTCTATTGGATAAAGTTGGAAACTTTATCCATATAGACCCTATTTTGGACCAGATCTGAGCTGGAGACCTTTTGGAATCGAATGAGGTGGTTGAATGCAGTAAGCTGCTGAAAAACCTATAACCATGACGTGGCAAGGCCACCACGACGTGGTGGCGGGGTGGTTCGCGACTGTTTTGTCGTATCCGGCACCACGACGTGGTACAAGGGTACCACGACATGGCAGTTAAGCTGAGCTGACTTTTTTTGACCTTTTGGCTAAGTTTGACCTTAAAGGTACTTTGGGTATTTTGGGATTTTGATGAAAATTGGTCACTTGGTGGTTGTAGGCACTGAGTAGAGAGCTGAGATTCGGAGGCGGGCCTTGTCGGTTTTGTGCAACTTGGACCCATAGTATGTTGGCATTCCAACCCGATGGTTGAGGGGCCTGGGGTATTCCAACTCGATGGTTGATTGGACCCATAGTATGTTGGCATTCCAACCCCATGGTTGAGGGGCCAGGGGAATTCCAACCCGATGGTTGATTTGGCTCATAATATGTTGTTTTGTATTTGTGCTATTTGTTATGTATTGGTATTTTGGGGGAGCTCACTAAGCTTTGGGCTTACAGGTTTGGATTATGTTTCAAGTGCCTCAGAGGATCGCGGGAAGGCAAAGACGTGATCGTGCACCTCCTCATGTTTTGTTTTATGATTTTGGGATTACTCTGATATTGAACTCATTTTGAAAACAATTTATAAACAATGATGGCTTTTGGATTTGTTTAAAAAGTTTAAAATTTTTCATGAATTATACGGATGTTACATTAGGGTAGGTTTTAGCATCTTTTGGTCCCATAACTTGGTTTCTTCGAGTATGAGCTACTCCAGGCCATTTGAGCTGTCATTTTGGACTCTTGGAAGTGTATTGAGTCATAAAAATTGTATCTTAAAGGTTAAGACTCAACCATGCATGTGTTAGTGACCTCCTAAGTGAGTTAGAGGGCTTAATTCATAGTTTGAGCCCCAACAATGTATGCAAAACCATAAAGTTTGCAACTTTATGGCTTAAGACGTTATTTTGAGTTTGGATCTAAGTTTTGGACGTTAAATATGAATGGATTAAGACTTTGGAGCTAATAAGGGCCGACTGGCCAGTACGCTGGGCGTCCTCTAGAGTACAATGCGCGTACTGAGCCAGTGCCCCGACTACGGATTGCCATCAGCGTACGTCGGGCGTACGAGCCATGTACGTCGCGCATACGCCGTCTGTGGGCTTGCAAGATTTTTGGGCTTGTGTGTTGGTGCTGGTGGGTGCGGGTGGTGGCGACGGTGGTGGTGGTGGCAATAGAGGTGATGGTGGTGACGATAGAGTTAGTAGTAACAACAGTAATGGTAGGGTGGTGGTGTAGGTGGTAACGGACATTTAATACTCAATCATTTACAAACTAAACCTTCAAATATACAAACTACCAAATCTATGATAAATTTGGGGGAAAAAATATATTAACTATGGAACAACGTCTTTTTTTTTTGGTTACATATATTTGAGTTTGTTGAAATATATAGATATAGTGTATAATTATAACAACATAATGCTATTAGATTTAATCATATGCTAGGAGACGAGTGGCTTGAAATGTTTATGTAAAAGAGACTAAAACCATAAAACACAATGTACTAATTCCATTGCATAAGATACTTACAAAGTTACAAATCAAGAAATTGATCAACCAGAGCTAAATATACATGAAAAAGAATGGACTTAAAGAATGAAGGCATTAGGTTTAATTTCCAAAAGGACAACGTACTGTATTCTAGTAAATTCGCCAATTTAACAGTGTATTATTAACCGACAAACATAATAATCATTTTTGACACTTTTTTTTTGTCAATGATGAAACAAATATTTGTCAAACTGTATGATAATGTGTTATTTGTGGAATTGACGTATGACTGAAAGTACGTTTGTCTTTTTGGTATTTAAAAATGGTCATGTCATGGATGCGCATGTTATGATAGACAAACAAGACAACCATGACACTAATAATAGATCAGTGTCAACTGTCAAGCCATAGTAGCAGCTTGAGTGATTAAGTGAACAATTGCTGCTGTAAAGAACCCCAGCAATGCACCAGCTGCAACCTGATTGTTTTTTTTTTTTTTTACAAAAAAAGAATTTGTTACATAAAAATATTATAAAAAAAATGTGTTTGTTATATTAGAAATAATAAAAATACAAGAAAAGAAAAGATACCTGAGGAGGAGTGTGGCCAAGAAGTTCACGAAGTGGTCTGCTATCAGCTAAGGGATGTTCAGCAGGAAGCTCATATACTATTTGATTCAGAAGCTGAAAATTTATAATTTCAGACATAAGGGAATGAATGAATGATAAGAACGTGTTGTAGCCATTTTTACAAATTCAAACCTCTGCTTGGCGTCCAGCATGCAATCGGACACCACTTGCATCATACATTACCTGTTTGTTACAAACATCATAAACTGTTAATTTCATTTACAAGATGCATCACAATGAATTCACAAACAACAGCAGATGATGAAAAAGAAGGAGAGAGGGAGAGAGATCATACAACACAAGCTAATATGAGAGCAATTGCAAATGTAGTGCCACCTATACCATCTTGAAAACCAACAGCAGCAGCAAGAGCAGTCACAGTTGCTGAATGTGATGATGGCATGCCACCAGATCCCACAAGCTGCTTAAGATCCCATCGTTTTTCTTTATACCTGCATGTCTACAACAGCTATAAGATTCTTAGGAGGAATGTAACGATACTAACTCCATTTCAGTTTATTAACAAGTAAAATTGAATAAATTCATTCACAGAAGCTGAATTAATGTCAAATATGCTTTTGTCAGGTAGTTAATTTGATCACCAAACTATGCTTAAATCAGAAAACACATCATTAGCCCTAGAAAAATGATATTCAGAGAAAAAACAGTGTCCTGATCCGATTCTCAGATTCAAAATAATCGTAAGCATTCAATCCAGCGCACGCATGAAACAGAGAGACATAGCAACACACAGTGCTTAATGTATTATCCAGATATGATACGGAATTGTAAATTGTAAATTGATCGATTAGAAAATCAAAAAAAAAAGAGACAAATATCATAATTGAGAACCTAGTTGAAACAAGAATACAAGCAAATCCAAAAATCAGAAATGATAATGAAAGAAAAAACATACCAGGTGGTGAAGACCTTAATGGCTTGGGCAACCGCAAAGGCAACAAGTGCAGAAACAAGAGCGTAGTTCATATGAACATTTGAATCCTCGTCGGATGCGGATCCAGACGGTACCGTTTCAGTCATGGATCTCATCTCTTTGCCCCCCCTGAATAAGAAACCTGGCGAATAATCAGAATTAGGGAGATGGAATATGCGAAGCGTAAGAGAAAGGAGCTACGACGACGACGACGATGATGATGATTGATTGATTGTGTCAGGGTATAAGCAACCGAAGAACGATGAATTTGATTTCTTTATAGGTTAATGGCGGAAAGGGACTTCCATTTTGATTGCAATAGCAAACATACGGTCAAACTCAAACAAAATAAATAAATAAATAAGTTGCAAGGAACACAAGACCGCCTGTAGAAAGAAATAGGTTCGGACCAACGAACCGGACATATTTATTGGGTTATATTTCATTTGATTTTTAGTTTTAATGTTTTTACAAAAAAAATAAAATAAATAAAACTGATTTTCGTTTCTGTTAATTCAAATATAGTTTTTGTAGCTATTTAAAGTTACATTTAATATTCTAATATTATGTCTTGATGATTGATATAGTCGTCCCTTAAATTTTTAATTAATGTTCATGATTTTATGACAAGCGCAATCATGCTAAATGGGAAGTTTATAAGAATGAATTGAACCTTATTAACATTGGTAAGCATGCCAAAAAGATGAAGAATAACGGACTTGAAGCCTTAAAGTAAAACGTATATTTTAAGTAGAATCCAAAATTCAATATCAGTAATTATTTTGAGAAATTTTGGTTGTTAAACAAATAAAAAAAAATTGGTAAAAAATTGATAGTTTTAAAGAGGAAAGAAAATGTGCATCGTGATGAATTTTGTGATGGTCGACCACAACCACAAGGGACAAACTCAATAAAATGACTTTGATAATAATATGAAGTGAGGTAGCAAAATCAGATCTACATATGATATAACATGTATGATCAAAGTCTACTTGTATGTTGATGATGAAGATAGATGTTTTCATCAGAAAACCCTAATATGCTTTCTAAGATCAAGTGTATGTCATGTATTTTGAAATGGGAATCATCAGCCGAATAAAATTGATGAACTTGATCATCAACTTCAATCCAACTGCAACCAGGTATCTTATGAGCCTTTTGCTCCTTCAATGTTGTCCATACTATTCTTGCTTTATCCCACTCCCCTAATGCACCATAAATATTGGCCAACATCGCCCCATACCCACCATTATTCGGCTCAATTTCAATCAGTTTCTTCACAGCAATTTCAGCCAAATCCATTCGGCCATGAATCTTGCAACCATTGAGCAAAGAACCCCAAACAGCTTCATCAGGTGGGGATTTCATTGCATTTATAACTTCCATGGCTTCTTCAAACTGACCTGCTCTACCAAGAAGATCAATGAAACACCCGTAATGATGAATGTCAGGCTCCATTCCGTAATCATTTACCATTGATTTGAAAAAAGAACGACCTTTTTCCACCAATCCACCATGGGTGCAAGCATTTAATAGCCCTACAAATGTAATATCATCTGGTTTCACACCATGTTGTTTCATTTCCTCAAAGATTATTATCGCTGATTTGCTTTGGCCATGGAGGGCGAAAGAGTTGATCATTGAGTTCCATGAAGTTAGGTTTCTCTTTGGCGTTTCATCAAACACCCTTCGGGCTTCTTTCAAGCTCCCACATTTTCCATACATATCAACCAATCCGTTTGCAATATGAGAATTAGGACCAAGCCCGTTTCTAAGAAGGTAATTATGTGTTGATTTTCCAAGATGTAACATGCCCATGTGGCCGAAAGCTGAAAGAGAGCATAGGACTGTAACATGATTTGGTTTCTTTCCGTTCATAATCATCCTTCTTAGAAGATGAATAGCCTCTGAAAACATCCCATTGTGAGTACACCCAGCGATTATAGAATTCCACGATGGGGTATCTCTGTCAGGCATTTGTTCAAACAACTCGATTGCACTCCGCATTTCACCGGCTCTAGTATACCCAGAAATCATAGCAGTCCAAGACACGACATTTCTCTCAGACATTTCATCGAACAGTAGCCTCGCAACAGCTATATCGGAAGAGAACCTCGAGTAAGCGTCAAGTAAAGCCGTTTTCACAACCGGGTACTCTTCATACCCCGTTCTAACAATCTGGGTATGTACCATTTTCGTTCCATTCGATCCCAAAACCTCTGGGCAAGATTTAAGGACGTGTGGGTAGATAAAATGGCTGACTTTAGGTCGTTTCCTTCGAACCATATCGCGGTATAAAAGGAGCGACGAATCATGATCTGGTCGAGAAGAATAAGCTGTGATCATGGCGGTGTAGAGGTAGACATTGGGTGAAACAAGAGAAGAGAAGATTGAGCGAGCGTAATCGAAGTTGGATAGAGAGAGTACACAGCACCGAACGAGCTTGAAAGAAAAAAACTGGTCTTGGGAATGGCCGGTGGTGATGAGATAAGCTTGAAGCTGCTTAAGATGAATAAGGTTATTGATTTTGTCGAGTATTCCTAAGATCAGTGTGTTTAAATTGGAGGATGCTGGCATCTTCTGGTCCTGCTCTTTGCTTCAACTTCACCTCTTCGCTTGCACTCCCGCCTTTGCCAATATATAGCCTCCATACATGTTTTGATTTAGCAAGTTAAATAAAATAAATAAAGTTTAAAAAGAGATCAAAATCACAAAATGCACCTATAAATTCTCTAAAAATGTCAAAAAGAAAGAAGATTTTATCAAAAATATCAAATGACACACTGCCAAAAAATGAGCTTTCCGAAAATAACAAATCGGTCCGTAGAGGGTCTTCTGCAAACTCATGTCAATAGTCGAACATTAGAGACTTTTTTTTAATTTTACGTGAGTCCGTAGTACCTTTTAAGCCTCTATAGGTACCTCTGTGTAAATTTAGATAATTCTTTTGTTCTCTTTTTTTTTTTTGTCTCTAAAATGTATAAATAAAAAACTATAACATAAATTCCAAACAAAAATATAAAGTTCATAGACAAAATATTATATATTGAGATACCCGCAGAGTGTATCACAGACTGAAGTTCCGTACTACAAACTCATGCAAATTTATGAAAAAATCCCTAATATTCAATTGTTGACATTGGTCATTTTTGAAAAGCACTTTTTTTGTCATTTTTTTGACACTTAGGTGTGTTACTTGGTCATTTTTAGCAAAATCTCAAAAGAAAACATTATTATTATATTAATACAGTCTTTTAATCATATTTATCACACCATTTAAAAAAAATTCAAAACTTATGCAAATAATAGCAGTCTCAGCACTCATGAACCCTTAAGTTCAAGACTTTGTATATGAAAATCAACTCAAAATTGTATAATCTTCTATAGAAATAATCAAATAAATACGAAATAGCCTTCAAAGGACTTTAAACTTTTGGTGAATCCATTTACAGTTGTAGAAAGTTGCTTGAAACTCTATGATAAAGTTTAGTTGATGTTGCCATCCAATGATTCATTTTGCAGTCATTATATTAAATTGGATTTTTTTAAAAAGACTATATAACCAGCTAGTTTATCTTATAACATGATATGATTAGTATTTAATACAATACTACCAAAGAACTAGAAAGCAACAACGATTTAAACCAAACAGAATACAACATTAATTACAACTCAATACTAATTTCGTTAAACCTTAAACAATTTGTCTTGCAAAATGAGACTTGAATGCTATTGCCGTTGTTTTTTTTTTTTTTTGCTGAATGTTTGATTCTATATACGAATAACTGAGGCAGAAGACAAGTCAGGGATACCACGGAAGTTAAGTTGTACAAAGTGACCTCCTCCTTCACCTCTCGCCAGTCTTCCCGGATTCACACACATACATTTCACTTCTTCACCTCCTTCACTTGTCCCCTCCAAGCTCAAAACCTACAAATAACTCGAAATTAAACAATAACTCATCAATAAAATCTTCACAGAAGCATTTAAAAGATTTAATCAGGTAGATACCTTCACAAAGTGTGTGAGGTCTGAAGGGACGATGAGAATGTCTGGAACACTAGACATTTGAAGGGCTTCTGGAGCAAGCGACAAGTCCACAGGAGTGTCTTCCGCGGGTGGATACAGAGGATAAAAGCTGTTGTCACAAACGTAAAAATATTAAATTAAGAAAAAAGAAAAAAGAAAATTATTATTTTGAATTTTGAAAACATGCCTGCGTTGACTCAGGAGATGGTTTGTTAGTGTATTCATGCGATTCTTGATCCCACGTGACACCACATCCATACTAAGTTGTTTCAAGACATCCACACTACAGCAACCTACTTTCACCTATATTTTTTTCACTCAATTATTAAAACTTCTCAACTCACATATCATCCAAATAACAACATTTACCTTATTTGCTGACATCATTCCTGGATTTGGAATGCAAGTGATCTGATGATTTAGATCAGCTATATTCATATCAAAAGCAGCCTGCACAATCAAAAAAATACACTAAGCATAATACTCTAAAATTTCTAACTCATCCTAATATTTAGAGTAATGTTACACTTTTGGTCCCTGAGTATAGCTGTTTTTTTTTCAATTTTGGTATTTGTTTAAGGTTTTCTTAATGTTTTTGGTAACACAATGGCAAAACTAGCTACACTCAGGGACCAATATGGTCATTTTACTTTGGAAAAATAACCAAAATTGTTACAAGAACCTCAAATAAGAACCAAAACTAGCAACACTCAGGGACCAACATGTAACTTACTGTAACATTTATAAATATTTCATTCACAATAAAATGATAAATTTACCTGAGGAAATACATAGTCATGGTGTGCATCGCGTATAGATGGCACAAGAATCACACGTGCAGCAGAGCCCATATATTCCACATAATCTTGAAGCTGAGGAACAATTGATATATAAAAAATCAAGGGAAAAAGTGGAAATAAAAGTGTTAAAGGAGCAGTTTAGACGATTATACCCTCCTAAGGATTTCAAGACGGAATAAATCATCATAAGTCCTGTTTAAAGCTCCTTTCTTGATCTCGGGGTGCTCCGAATCAATGAAAGGCCCTAACTGTTAATGAGTTCAATACAATGTTAGTTAGTTTAAAGTGGTTTTGATTTTTGAACAGTTACAGGGTTAAAATTGTAAATTCTCACCAGTATAAGCAACTGAGGCTGCTTTCTTTGTGCATATGCAAGAAGATCAGAGAGTGGCTCAAAGAATAAGTTGTCGGTTGTGGTGTAAGGGCCTGAAGCAATAATCTGCTCAAAGATGACATGGATAGAATCAGAGAAAATCCAGATTGTAAACTTAAAGGGGTACTTTAGTAAAATGAAGAACAAGCTTACATACCAATGATAAATCTGATGTTATATCAGATAAATCAGCAGGCTTGTTATCTTGATCCACAGCTTGTCTCTTCTTTTGACGAATATTTTCATCATCAGAGACTGATAGTGGAACATTATCAACAATTTTTGTTGCAATTAAATAGTGCCCACTTGGATTATGCCCTTCAATACCTACCACCTGTTGAATTATGTTTATGTTAAATGGTTTTTTTTGGCCAGTTTCCATTTTTTTAACTGTCTACCTGGCCTGGGAAAAGGGAAAACTGGTCCAGTTTCTGCAAGTCAAGGCGCACACGTTGTCCTCCAGAATGCTCAACACTGTTCAAACAAGTGAAAAACGACAACAGTAAGGGCAAAGATGTCTGAAAAGAGCATAAAGATTCAACAGAAATTACCTGCTTTGAAGCATGATTGGTTTTTCCTTTAAACGCCCTTCTTCTTCACAGCAAATCATGCCAACAGCAAATATACTTTTCTGATAGGGAATCAAGGGGTGTAACTTATGTTGTTGAAGCTCTTCAAAGATGATAAAAAGGAAAAGAATAATTCTAATAAAATAGAGATAGGAATTACTTGGGAAGCAACCGATGGATCAACAGGTTCCTCATAAAGCTGAGATGCAACCATGGCTTTTGAATATTTCATGATTTTATCTTCAAGATAATTAAACTAAACTTCCAAAAACATTAAAGTTAGTGATGTAAGCATAATCATGGGACAAAAAGCAATCAAAATTATGAGAATGCTACAATACCTTGTCTTCTATCCTGTCATACATGTATCTGCATCCAGGGGCAGGCTGGGAAGAATGAACTTCAAGGGAACAACTTTTAATAGGTTGTACCCTTTTGATCACATCATCTTCAGAACCCTCTTCGCCCTTTTCCATTTTAATTTCATGAACTGTGGGTAGGGTGTTAAAAGTTGAGTGTACTACAAACTTGTCTTTCCGTTGCCCAAAGGGTGTCACCAGTTCTAAAGGCTTCCCCAATGAATGCATAGGTGTTACATCAAATGAGTCCAGCTGTACATTAGTTTGTCCTGTTGGAGAGGTAGGAACAATCTCCTTAGCATCTTCATGGTCTTCATCTAACTCCCTGTAGTATAAGTTTGTGATCATTGATTCAAATCATAGAGAATGAGGCTCAATTATTCACAGTTATAAGCTGTCACGTCTCAGATGAAAGGCTTACATGGTGACATCAGTATATGAATGTAGGCCTTGCTCCTTTTCGATAATAGCTTGTTTCTGTTCACTTTGTAGTTGCTGATGGAATGCATCCATATGAGCATCTGATACTACTAGTTCCAGTTGCCTGTCAAAAAAGGGATAATACTTTTAACATAATATTGCTGATGGAATGCATCCATATGAGCAATGATAACACTGTCAAAGACCAAATAAAACTAAACACAATTCGAGTGGCGAAATGGATTCTCCTACAAAGCAGACTAGAATTCCTTTCCACCTCCATAGTCGGAAATCCTATACTGAACGTTAAGGTAATCGAGCAAACTAATTACCTGTTGATAGAGTATAAATCCCAGCTCGAAACAAGGTCCGATGGACTGAGATTGTAATTTATACAAAATGTCAGACCTGCTCACCGAAACAAAAACAAATTGAGAAGATAATCAATCGCAGACTATAAAAACAAAATCACGATGAAATTAGTGGGGCAAGAAGTGAAAATCTTTCTTACATTTCTGAAGTATTTCTTCTTCTTCGACTAAAATGAAGTTGTTCTTCTTGAATTCGGCTTTAATTTGGTCTTCCATGGGGATCTAGGGTTCTTGCTGTCGACTGTGCTTGGAGGGAAACAAATGAAGAAGATGGCGCGAAAACTTGGTTCGTCGTGTATGTATAATATATCGTGGAATGGGCTTCTAAGGAATGTGAGCTTTTGGCCCCCTGGCTTGAACAATGCCAAGGGTCATCCTTTCTGGGCTGGACTGGTAAGATATTTGGCTCATTGGCTGGGGCCTTTGCTTGGAGGCTCAACTCCACTTCCAGAGTTCCAGTCTCCAATTCTTTAAAAAATAATATAAATAGTTATTAATATCAAGATTTAAGGTGGTGTCTATTTGATTCTATAATAAAATATTAACATCGTCTATATGAACGGGAAATAAGTTGTTTGATAGATCTTGTAGATTAATAATTATACTTATAATTGATATGGCTCGGGTTTGAATTTCAATGTCTAAAAAAAGTTATACTTGATATGCCAAAACCTAGGTGATTGAGCCTTTTATAGTTATCGTACATGTACCTGTAAATGTAATTTCAATATGAATTGAATATTACATTTGTTAAAAGTTTTTGTTCAAGCTTTGGTGGAAGAATAATCATTTTGCATATTCTGCATAAAGGTAAAGTTGAAAAAAAAAAGTGCCAACAACTAAAATAATTAAAAATAATTTAACAAGAACTAGCAAACAAATACAAGTTTGTACCACGAGTTGAGCCTAATACTGATAGTACATCACTTGCAAAGTACAAAAAACACCATACACATATCAAACTCCAACACCTACATCTATTTTAATCTCTAACTTTCACCTGAGAGACTTATTTCTTTATTTATTCACATTTCACAAATACCAAATCACTCTTTTTACACAAACTCCAATACTTGTTGCATTTTCGAGTTCTTCACGAGTAAAATTTGTAGCTCCCAGCTGACCTAATAATCGACCTTAGACCTCCAATGGGGGCTAAAATCATTATTAGCACACCAATTACTATGCAAATCTGAAACATTAACAACACAAATTAGACAACTCATAGAAGAAAATTCCGGAAAAAAAAAAAAAAAAAAAAAAGATTGAACTTTTGACAATACCCAATTTATGCACCAAGTTATGCTCCATCTTTTGGGCTTCCTAACTATTAGCCAAATAATGCATGGAAGCTGTGCAAGTAATGATAAAAAACAATGAGAGGGTAAAAAGGACTTTTCACATCTTGCAAAAGAGAGAAAAAAAAAAAAAGACTCACGTAATAGGTGGTTGGTGCCAATGCAAACCCTCCAAAGAATCCAAGAAGCCCACCAAAGAAAGGGAATGTGATTGCAATAAAAGTAGTGATAACTACAAATACCCAAAAGTTGGAATCAAAATTAAAAAACGTATTTGAAAAAGGAAAAAAAATAGAATCATAATCTTACCAACAAATAATGTACGAACAGTGAATCGAAGGACACCACTTGGCTTCAGTTTCACTGATTTCACCAAGAAGGTTTCTATCATGTCATAAACAGGCATCGAAAAAATCTGAAATGTTAAAAAAAAAAAAAAAAAAAAAGTTAGATTTTGACATTTTGTAATGAAGAGATATGAGATGGAAGAAAATCTTGACACATACCTGATACCCACCGATGACATGGATGATGACAAACATGTTAGCTGAAGCAATAAGCCATGGAGGGTGTTCAAGAGTGATAAGAATGTTATCATCAACAGTGTTCCCAAACACATAAAACCCAATTATTGCAACAGGAAAGTAGCAAATGGCAACAATTATATACGCAACAACACAACCCAACCACATTGGTCCCTTTGATGGCTTTTCAGGTGTTGAAGGGATAGTTGCTTGGATCTCTAAAACCACATTATGGCCCGCATACGCGAATGCCACATCACCCAAAGCACTAAACATCCCAAACATTTGTCCCACAGGAGTTTTCGACCTTGGACTATAGTCCACATCATCATGAGCTCCCCTTTTCCATGAAGCCACCCAAGCAATCGTTGAATAACTGCCCTAAGTTCATAATGAATTTTGATCAATGGAATGATTTATGATTTATGATTTATGATTTATTATTAGTTTATTACCTCAATGACATGATGGCAGCAGCTAAAGAGACACCACTAATGGAGTTGAAATTTGGGAGGTGAGCAAGTACAAAGTGAACAGAGGCGAAAATCAAGATGAAGTAAGTTGTTCTTAGAGGTTTACAATCAGGGCAAATTGATTGTTGAAACTTCTGTAGAGATTTTCCTCCAGTCACCATGTAGACAATGCATGTGCCTACTTCCACTATAAGCTGTTGAGGGACTACAACATAAAGCCCGAGTTTTTCACCAAAAGCATGTTGCCCTAGCTCATGGTATCTGTCAAATCTTTTTCCTGGAACCATTTCGTGCATTTCCACCATTTGCCATAGTGTGTAGAGTGTAATCACCCAAGATAGGACAAGTACTGTGATTCCAAAGCCCCTGAATCAAAGAGATTGTATATTATGAAAGTGGATTTTGTGTGGGGATTTTCATCGAACATGTTGCGTGCATCGTTTAAACCAAAAAAGAATCTTACAGAGAAGACTTGGATTGAAGGAAAAGGGATACCATCCGAGTTGAGATAGGGCGTAAGGAAGACTGAGGACACCGGCACCAACCATGGCGGTGACATTGTGAAAGGCTGAGTACCACCACTTTGCGTTTCTGGAGGATGTCACTGGAAGCCAATCATCGATGGCTTTTTCCTCGGCAGTTCTTCTATCATTCCTCGCATCAGCACCAGACTCCATGGAAGATTGATTTACACGCTTCTCTACTCACTTGAATTTCTTTGATAAAGAAGAAGGAACCCACGTCGAGAATAAATAGAGGACCAAGATCCATGATATTTGGGTTCTCTCCTTAACTTTCAGAATTGGTACTGTGTCAGCCATAGAAGCGGGTTTCATGGGTTCGATAATTTGATGACACATGTAGAGAAAATTTTGGCGGAATGCGAGGAAATGGAAGTTTGGCGGCAGAGCTGCTATTTCTCACTTTAACTGTAATTTGAATCGATCACAACCAGAAATCCAATTTTGGATCCTTGTTAGTTGTTACTAGTCGTTGCTTGTGTTGAAACACTCTTTTAAAACTGCCACACTGTCCTTTCTGAAATTACCAAATACCCCTATTTGAGGGGAAACCAAAACTTCATAACAAAACAATATAAATTAATTCTTGATTAACCATTAATATCATGAACCAATACTCTTTGTTACATTGGGAAAGATTCTTTTGAGTAAACATACTTTATAAAATTATTAGTCAACACAACAATTAAGTACAAAAAGAGTTAGCTATTTCTTTCTTTTTTGTTACCCACAACCTAATTAACACAAGTTGGTGCTAGTATGGCTTATCCTTACCATCAAAATATGTAACACAAATAACAAATTAACAATTACAATTTATTAAACAACATACTAAAATAAAACGGAGTGCCAAAGATAACTACTCGTCACTTGTTTGTAATCAAAATGCTTCACGATATTCACAATCTTAAGTACAAACTCTAATTAACACAAATAACAATCAATTTGTTATATATGCACAACAATTTGTAATTATATAGGAACATTCAAATTCAAATAAAAATATAAAGATCTAAATAAGAATAATTTAATATCAACTTATAATATATCCATAATAAATACTTAGTATTTAGTAAGGTTGTAAAAATCATTCGACGGTAGCTCGACGGTCGACTGGTGTTAAGGGATTAATCGGTATTGGCGGGGATTAATCGAGGACCATAGATTATTAATAAAATATTAAAATTAATCAAAGATTAATATAGTTTAAGAAAAAAAAAGTACTTCAAAATTAGAAAATAAGAGAATTTGTAATTTGAAAATTTGAAAATACGAAAATATGAACATTTTGGTATAATATTTGAAAATTTGAAAATTTGAAAATTTTGGAGTAAAAAAAATTTAATTTTTTGAATTTTTTACTTTTTTTTTTTACTTTTGTTGACTGATTAATCCCGCCAAGACCGATTAATCCATAATTTACGTCAAACACACTAATCTTAGTCGGTTGGAGAACGTCAAACGATTAATCCCGATTTATGCAACCATGGTATTTAGAAACATTTTAATTATAATAAACTAACAATAAAGAATAACAAGTACCTAGGTCAAATTATTGGGTGAATCGGTTGTTTATATTTACTTTTATGTGTACAACATAGGTAAGAAGATATAACTGTGAAATAAATCCAAAGAATGACCAAGCGAGAAGTGAATCGGAGATGAGAAGCAACATCGGAGAGACATAATAGCAGGTGAGGGCCTTAAGGCATCCACCCATGGAGAGACTTGTTATCAAAGTTTAGAGTGGTATGATTAGTGAGAAAAACAGAAAGATAAAGAGAGTACGTGTGGATACAAACTTACTCCAACGAGGAGAGATAGCCGCAAAGCGGCACAATATGACAGAGGAAGTGAGAGTTGAGTAGACCGGTGGAGAGAGAGAGAGAGAGAGAGAGAGAGAGAGAGAGAGAGAGAGAGGACAATTCTAACGGTGAGAATATTTTTCTAGGATTTAATTTTTTTCTCAAATACTTAGTTTAAAATTTTGTAATTTATGTTAGTGTTTTGGCTTTTTTTTTTTTTGTATAGTTGTATAGTTTCCTAGATAAGTTACATTCCCGATATAAGAATGTTGTTTTTGACTATCCGGGAGAGTTTTCTCGTTAATTAGTTTATTTAATTTCTTAGTTAATAGTCTTTCTAGTGATTTGTTACATAAATAAATCAAACATATATAGGTTATTAGTGAGTTTATAAAATTGGAGGGGCTAGAAGCCAATTTTTCATAACTAAATTAGTAATATATAGGTATAACCGTATAAGTAACTTTCAAACCGGTAAGGGATTTTTTTATAACTAAATTAATATTTAGGTACAATAAACTTTTAAACCAACCTCCATGGTCCAAGGAGGTTCCGCCTACAAGGGAGGGATTTGTGTCTATCAACTTGAACTAACTGTAAATCAATGTTGATGTTGATGAATCCTACCAAAACTGTGAATGTCAGATGCATGCCTCTACAGCTAAGTGTTCGGGCCTACCACGTTCGACAATACTTATAGAAGGTGTTGTATCACTATCTTGTGGTTCTCGGATTTCTTTGAGGTCTATATTGTTCCTACTTGCTTCTTGTAACAAGATATTTCTCTCTAAGAACTCGAGATTCCTGGAAACAAACATGTTTGTCCTTGACGAGGTTGTAGAAATAGTACCCCATAAGCGACATTTGAAAGTTCCAGACTCTAGTTTTCTAGAAATTACATGTCATATGTGGGCAGTAAAGTAAGACAACTTGGGTGTAATCCCATGCCATAGATTGTTTGATGTCTTAGTTACCTTTGTTGAAATCATTTCGAGAATGCCTACAACAGACTCTAAGGTATAACCCCAAAAGGTAGTGGTAAAGACATTTTACCTTGACATTATACCAAATTTAGACATGGCTATGTAAGGATTGCCGACATCAATATGTATAGGTCTTAATAGATCGTGGGCATTTCCTTTTAGTCAAATGGAAAACTACCTTAAATCATATTTCCACACAAATAGAATATGCATAAATCGGGCAATTTCCTCCAAACTTCTGTCTAATATGTTTGATTCAAGTCATATTTATATATGGTGGTATGGTTGATTCAAGGCATGCTTGAATATGGTGGTACTACATATATTTACATTTGAAACATCATTATGCATATCAATTTCATAAAGATCATAATATGGACAACATCGCAAAAGGGACAACATCGGAAAGGTTGGTATAAGACTTGTTCAAGTTTAAAACACACAAAGTTTAATAAAATCATAAAAAGCAATCATGTTTTTCAAGTTTTCCCATCCGGGTAAGACAATAAAATTGAAGTCATTTTATGAAGCTATAAAAATCAGCAACACTCTAGACTTTAGAATAAACCATAGGATTCAAAAGATATATTGTCATAGAAATGGTTGTCATAAGACTTGTTCTCAATAATAACTCAAAGTATAAAAAGACTTATTACCACCAAAGTCCTAAATCATTCTCAAAACATAATCAGACAAAATGACCAAAATAAAACCACCGCACAACGATCATCCATTGAAAAATTTAGGCTTGGACAGATGCAATGTGGCAGATGAGGTCAATAACACGGGAGCTGCATACATGGCAAAAAATAAACATTGATTAGAGAGTATGCATGTGAATCTTAACACAGGGCCAATTCTTTCAACTTCTTCCATGTTGAAAGATATAAATATAGTTACCTGTATCCCCATTCATTATCATACCACGACACCAGTTTCACAAAGTTGTCATTCAAAGCTATTCCAGCTTTAGCATCAAAGATGCTTGACCTGTTGTCACCGATAAAGTCAGTGGACACAACATCATCTTCTGTATATCCCAAAATGCCCTTCATTTTGCCCTCTGATTCCTCTCTGAAATTACAAAAACAACCCCAAAAGTTAACATTATGTTTTAACAAAATATTAATTTATATATTCCCATACGTACTTAATGGCAGCCTTAATCTGCTCATAGGTAGCCTTCTTTTCCAGCCTTACAGTCAAGTCAACAACTGACACATCCACAGTTGGCACACGGAAGGCCATTCCAGTCAATTTCCCATTAAGTGCAGGCAAAACCTTACCCACAGCCTACATCAACATTCAACACACCCATATATATATAATATAAGTTGAAATAAACATTTGTATAAAATTATTAAAGGGTATTTAACTAAAGTCTAAAGGTGTGTTTTTACCTTAGCAGCTCCGGTGCTACTGGGAATGATGTTGAAAGAAGCAGCTCTTCCACCTCTCCAGTCCTTCATTGATGGGCCATCCACGGTCTTTTGAGTGGCTGGAAGTTTAGTTAAAATGTTAAATACATTTTGTTTTTAGTCAACAATTTAATCTAATGAAAGGGTAAATCCGTAAAAAGTAAATACCAGTGATAGAGTGAACAGTTGTCATAAGACCCTCAACAATTCCGAACCTATCGTTAATGACCTGTATTTTTTTTTTTTTGTGTGTGAAAAATACAAAAAGAAAAAAGCATGGTGAATATTATTAGTTGAAATGGAGGTTATATAACCTTGGCGAGTGGAGCAAGGCAGTTGGTTGTACAGCTGGCATTTGAAACAATGTCAAGCTCGGGTTTGTATTCCTTCTCGTTCACACCCACAACAAACATGGGTGCATCCTTGCTAGGAGCAGAAATGACAACCTTCTTTGCTCCACCCTACATATATAACAAATAATTAAATAATTAAATATAATTAAACATAAACAAAATTGGTAAAAGTATATAGAGATTTAATGAAACCTTCAAATGGGCAGCAGCCTTGTCCTTATCAGTGAAGACTCCAGTAGACTCCACAACAAAGTCAGCTCCAGCTGCACCCCATGGGATTTCTTCTGGGTTCCTAAATAGTATGAAAAGACAAATAGTTTACAGAATATTCTTTATAAAAAAATCTCCAACAAAGACTTAAGATGGATCATAGATCTTACCTGATGCCAAAAACAGTGACAGGTTTATCACCGAAGAGAAGGGTCTTCTCATCTTTGACTTTAAGCTCATGGTGCTTCCACTGGCCATGAACACTGTCGTACTTGAACATATATGTCTGCATGTATGGTAACCAGTGAATTTTTGCAAAGGGAGATGCTACAATTTATATTTATTTGAGTACTATTATAGTTTGGACTCTGCTTTATTTTATACATC